CTGGACTTTTCCAGTAGCTATAGGGGTCCCTCACGCGCCCCCACGCGCCTCCCAGAGCTTCCCACACGCGCCTCCACTATTCTCACACGCGCACGCGCTTACACACGCCCCCCACACGCGTCTGGAATCAGTCACGCGCGCACGCGCTGCCACGCGCGCATTAATGGTTCCTGCTGACGTGGCGTGTGCTAGTTGGTCGGTTGTACCGCTTCTCCATGGGCTTGCTGCACTGGATTAATCTACTGATCCTAAATTAATCCTACGGCTATTGATGCATGTACATCGATATACAATGTTCTGCGTTACATGCAATTGATTTACTAATTGCTATTAAATCTAACGGCTGCTGATGCACACGCATAGTAACCCTTGTGCGCTGTATCACGCCGGATCACTCCGGTCACCTTCCTCACTGCCGGTGGCCGAAAACCTCGCCGGAGTCTCGCCGGAATTTACAGAAAATTCCCGAAAAGTCTTAGAAAATTCTAAAAAAATCCCTAAAGTCTTAAATAATTATTTTTAGCTATATTTTAATTACATAGGCTAATAAATAATTATCTAACCTCTTTAATAATTAAAATCTCATTATTTTAATAAACTAAAAATTAATTTATTGAAATTCCTAGCATGGTTTCTAGTCTCTAAAAACCCGAAATAAATTAAATGAATAATTTATGGATTCAAAGGGGAAAAGTAGATAACAACTTGCTTTATGGATTTAAAATAAATCCGCCGGTTGTGCGTAGTCGGGTAAAATCGCCTACACCGGTCCAAGCTTCTTTCTCCCTCTCTTTTCCTTTCACTCTTATAAAATAGCTCTCTGTAATTTTAAAGCTTTCTAACTTAAGTGAGTTGCCTTAAGGGTAAGTTGGCTAACTAATATATATATACAACTTATATAATATATATAATACAAATATCTAAATTTACATTAACTTTCAACATTCCCACCTATATGGCTTTAAGGCAATGCAAATCATAGTCAAGTTATTTGATCTACCATTCTACCATAATAAATGAAATTCTATCCTAATATTTAATTTTTTCATCATTACATTGATTTAATACTATTATTATTATTATTATTATAATTATTATTATTATTATTATTATATAATACAAATTAAATACTTTAATTAAATAATATTAATTAATCAAAAACATAACCAATAAAATTTCTAAACTAATCATTATAATATATAGAACATAAAATCAATATTACATGCACAAATAAATAAAATTAATTAAATAATTTAACATATATAATTAAAAGGTGAATAAATCTACACATTAAATAATTAACCTAACACAAAATTAATTTAAATAAACTCTTTAAAATTACGGGGTATTACAAAGGGAATGAAACTAACCTTAGAAAAAAGATCTGCAGAGTTTACCCCAGTAAAGCGAAAAATAAAAATCATGGAAGAAGAACTCACCGAAGAAGACAAAGAGAGCTCACCTGAGAAGACAAGAAGACCTTACCAAAGAAGACTGGTTGTTAACGGAAGTGGTTGAAAGATACTACACTCAAAGGTAAAGGTGAGAAAGGCAGAGTGAAGACAAAAGATGATGGTTTGAGGTTTTAAAGAGAAAGTGGCTCGATATCCCAAGAACCATGGCAATGATGGTGCTTCAAGTCTCAAAACGTGGGTCTTTGAGCCAACCATTCGCCTCCCCACGTCATCACCTCGAGCAGTCTCATCATGATTGAGTCCCTTCGATAATCTCAATCTAATCAATTAGGGAGAGATTATGGGGGCAGATGAGGATACCAAAAATGACTTGGGCCGAGCACAACCCAGATTACTGAAAACGGGTATGGAAAGAAGACTTGGTTCAATCGAATCATCACTTATTAGGCCCAGAATCGGAAGATCAGTCTGAAAGCCCGATCTCAGAGTAAATGAAATGGGCCCATATCCAGGACGAGCCCAAAGATCAGCCTAGCGTGAAGAATTAATTATGAAGCTTTTAGAATGTTGGTAGAGGTCTATAAATAGACCGAAAAGAGAAGGGAAAAGAGAGAGATATTTTTAAAGTGTAAAATTATTCTGTCTAAATTAAGATAGTTTTTCTTGCATCTTCATGGATAAAAGTCAAAGAATTTAATATCATCACATTTTTATAGACGCATTATAAATAAATTTAATAATCTATTAAAAATAAGATAGAATTTGCGGTCTTCACCAATACATAATATAATATAACATAATTTACACACTATTAATATAATAAAAAATATTTAAAATCATACTCGTTAGATTTTTAGATCGAAGATGTAGATCCGAATAAATACTTGGTAATTAGTGCAATGAACATGACTTTTAATAGGCTTAAAACCTTGGGAGCACGCACTAATGTTTTTCTTTGTCAGATTCTGAGGAGGTCGGTGCGCAGATCAGGAGCTTGTCAGGCGAATATGGTATCTTTTTATACTATTCAAATCCAAAATGGGCCCAAGCCCATAATACCTCCAACATACAGACACACATGGGAAGGCACCGAGAAGGACTAGAGCTCGTATTTATTCTCTTCCCTACTCACTCTCTACCACACATCTCCAAAATTTCTCTTTGGTGAGGTTCTACGTAGGTTCGCAATTTATCATAACACCGCTTTATTTACAAAAAAATATATGCATTTATAAACTTATGTATGTGTATATATATATATATGCACACGAGCTCAGCGGAGGAAATTTGCATGTCACATTCGTCGATGGTAACATCAACTAAATGGGTCTTGATTTCCCTTTGAATTAGGTGAAAATATCTTTGGAAGGACTCCTTTTAGCTCCCTGACGACTATGGATACTTCACCAATATTTCAAGGAGAAGAGATTCGATATTTATTATTTCAGAAGGGACAGCAATTTAAATAACAATTTCATAACACTCGTGTAAAATAATTTACAATAATTTTTGTACAGGTTGACTCCATAAAACTTCATTTGTGTCAATTTAAAAAAAAAAAAAAAAACACTTCATTTGTGTACTTTGTTGATAGTTTTAATTTTTTGAGTTTAAATAATTTATAGTCATAAAATCAACAACACATCCACAAAAATACTAAATATATTATGATTGAATGCATGGACATTAATTGCAATTTAAATTACATTATAACAATTGACTTTGGAGAGAGACTTTCATAGAAAGAGAGTTTTTCATAAAAGGTGATCAATAATTTGGTACAAGCCTTAGAACAGATAATTTCTCAGTGATAAAGAGGACGCTTGAGATAAAATTAATTTTAAAAAATTAAATATTATCTAAGAGATAGCTTGTAAAAAATAAAAAAAGAAATCATCCATAATGATAATGGTAGATTTGGTAAGAGTTGGTTTCTCCATTTTTTTTTTTTTTAAATGGTTAGGGGATTTGGATTCTCTAAATTAAATATTCTTTAAGTTATTTTAAGTTGAATTATCTGCCGATTGACACTGACATTTAAAATCTATTTACAGCTTGTGTTAAATTACGTCAACTAATTTAAAGAAAGTTTGAAAAATGCACTGTTTTGAGATAAGAAAAATTTATCAAAATTTGAAAACTGTACCATTTTAAACTAAGAAAAATTTACTAAATTTTAAAAACTGCACTGTTTTGAAATAAGGAAAATCCACCATCCTTTAACGACGTTAACATCATTCTCCTCTTTCTTATTCCTACCATTGGGGGAATATTTAAGCCTCTGTAATGGATTTTGCAGTTTAAATTTCAAAAAAGAAAAGAATTTTGCAATTTAGATTTCAGAAAAAGAGAGTGAAAAAAGAGAATAATTTTGCAATTTAGATTTCAAAAAAGAGAGTGAACCAAAGTGATTTTGCAATTTAAATTTCAAAAAATAGAGGAATTTTGTAATTTAGATTTCAGAAAAAGAGAGTTGAAAAAAGAGAGAAATTTTGCAATTTAAATTTCAGAAAAAAAAAAAAAAAAAGTGTGAACCAGAGCTTCTAGACGCCAAAAATCGTGGGAAAAAACATTCATTTTTTGTGTGAAATATTCCCTCAATAGTGGGAATGAGCAAGAGGATCGAGAGGGAGCAATCTTTTTTGAAAAAAATGAGAGGGAGAGAACAAACCTCAAATTTTCAATATTTCAAAACAGTGCAATTTGATAATTTTTTCTTATCTCAAAGTGGTACATTTTTTAATTTTTTTTTAAAATTAATTGAGATAGTTTAACACAAGTAATAAATAGATTTTAAATATCACGTGTCAATTAGAATAACTTAGAGAAAATTTAACTTAAAAGATCTAAATCCATGGCTAGATATAACAATCATTTGCCATAAGATTTTCTCAAGTTATATATGTCTAAGGTTTTCTCTTATTAATTACATTGTCAGATCAAGAGCTTTAATTGGGCTTTGATCAAGCTTTGCATAGCCCTATTTCAAGTGAAGATTTTGCAAAGCCCTATTTTAAGTGAAGGTTTTGTTACTCTTTGTATACAAATGTATGTTATTTTAGTCGTTGTTCAAATATTAAAAAACAAATATTTTAAATAATAAAACATATAGCTGGATAAGAGTTTATTGCGTTTAGATCCAACAGATCTATTTAAATATTATTCTTACAAAACAAATGTATTATTGTATGTAATTAAAAAAAAAAAAAAAAAAAAAATTGTCCATTATTCCTTTAGAACCGATAAGGATGGATAGGACCGTTGGCCTGTTTTAGTCAGCTAATCGGAGAGTAACAGTAAGGGTACCGAGAAGTTCAGAGGCTGGTACTGCATTTGCTCGCTTTGCTGGTACTCTATTCCCTAAAGCAAGGGTAGTTTCGTCAAACGGAAATACATTATCTATAATCAGTACACCTCAAATCAAAAGGGCACGCAAAAAAGACCGGAATAGACGGTAAGAGAGAGAGACGAAAAAGCGAAAGTAGAACCCCACAACCGCAACGCTTTGGGGTACAACCGCCACGTATGCTATCTTATCCATTTCCACCCCCTCTTTTTTCTTCCTATTAAAAACTCCATCTACCTCCCCTTGTTTTCTCACTCAAGCCAAACCTTACCTCACCTCGCCGCCTCCTTTTCATTCTCTCTCTAGAGATAAAACACTCTCTCTCTACATCACGCAAAAATGGCCGTTAACCTTCTATCCTTCCGACCTACTGGATTCCGAGTATGTGCCACCTCCGGCCACCCGAATGACTCGCATCGCCGGAGAAATTCTTCCTCTAATTGGTGGACCCCGCTCTTCGGGATATCCTCCGAACCCGACTATATTGACTCCAAGTCCAATGCCTCGGCAGAAACGCACACCAAGTCGATGTCGGATCCTGAACCGAAACCGTCCAGATCTAAGTTTCAACCCGGTTGTTTCACCGAAGACAAGGCCAAACAGCTCCGGATGATGACCACCAACACGGGCTCGTTTCATGACATCATGTATCATTCGGCGATCGCTTCTCGGCTAGCTTCCGAGTTCTCAACCGGGTCCGATCTGTAAATCTAAGGCCACGACGGCTGGTTTTGCAGGGGGCGAGTCAAGGCTAGGGTTTCAATTTGTCGACTTTATTTTATTCTCAAGTTTGGCAGGTGTTTCTCTCTCTACAAATTTCTTTTTTCTTTTTAATGTAATTTTCCCCAATTTGAATGTTATGTTATTCCCACCTGTTAGAAACTGGGATATTGATAATGGTGGTGATGTAATCCTGAAGTGATCTATTTCTATGGTTACTTATAAACAATGTATATTACTCCTTGGAGTGCTATATAAGTATAAATTAATTATTTGATTTAAGGTTGAAGAATGTAATCAATATTTTATTATTTTGCATTTATCGGTTATGGGCTCACTTTTTTGGTTTTATCTTTGATCAAGTGTGATGGGACATAAAGCAAAGGGTTAACATTTCTTTCAAATTAGGTGAAATATCTAATGACGTGGGTCCCACTATGTGTGCTTTTCCCCGACGGCAAGGATGTGACGTCTTACTAAATGGTATTTGATGCATGGTTATAGTTGGTAGGGCGGGATAACCCAGCCCAACCCAAATCGAAAATTTGAAATTTGGCTCTAAGTTTACAAATTGAGCTCATCTTCGGGTTGAATTTTTTACAAAATTCAAATATATTTGGATTAGATTTGGGCTCAATCCGAATCTAACCCAAAACTCAAAATAAAAATTAAAACAAAAAAGGCTCATGTTCAGGTTGAATTTTTATAATACTCATATTTGGGTTAGACTTGGGCTCAATTTGAACCCAACCCAAAACTCAAAATAAAAATTAAAAAAAAAAAATTTATTAATTTTTTTCTCCTTTCTCTCTTCTCTCTCTTCTTTCTCTGTCGCCGTCCATACGTACAAGGTACAAGTTAGCAGTTGCAAAGGGAGCAGGGGGAAGACATCGGCTGAAGCTTGCGAACGGCGAACTCGAACTGGAACCGCGGACAATGGAAATTGAAAGATCTGGGTTTTGATTTTTTGAACAATCTGAAATGATATGCCGATATGGGTTTTGAACTATTGATTCTTGCAGACAGATAGATAATACATGGGTTTTGAACTTCTGATTTTTGTACATTTTGTAGTTTGCAGTTGCACAGAGAGAGGACAAGTTCAGAGGCTAAAATGATTTGCCCTAAAAATAATCAAATATAATATATATATATATATATAATTTATTTTTTAATAATAATATAATCAAATATATATAAATCTTCGGGAGAAAAAAACACTCAATCCAATCCGTCCAAAAATATTTAGACTGGTTATGATCAATCATAATTCATGTTAAGTATAATTGAGATTGACCCAATTTAACCCGATTTGAATTAAGATTGGGTTGGGACTGGGCTGGTGGGGCAGCCTAACTTGCAGCCCAATAGTTGGGTTTGGTGGAAATGCATATACAGTAAAACAGGGCCATCCACTTGGTCGATGGTATATTCTGGATTCTGAATGGGATCTAAAAATCTTACCAAGCAATCATGATGTATACTACCAAGAATATGCTTACAGATATAGATTTTAAAAACTGACTCAATTTAGTAGTACTGTCTAAATTTAGTACTGTAATTAACAAAGACAGATATGCGAGAGTCCAAATGATGCAACCAAGTATCATTTGGACCATGAAAACAGCTTTTTCTTAAATTATCTCTTAGCAGCAAAAATTTATTTATCTTTATTTGGAATTCCTTGAGTTATGGTTGATTAATGCATCATCTTCATATAATTTGTATGGGTACTGCAATTAGGAGAGTAAATTGCTTATCTCTTTATTTATCTCTTTGCAACTTGCTGCTATTGCTTCTAGGCATCCCACGCCACAAATATGAGATTGATTCACCAGCGTACTAGAGTTTTTTTTTTTTTTTTTCTTTTAAGGGTAAATTACATTCACACCCCGAGTTTAGGTCGCCATTCAATGACGGACAATTAACGTACTTGTTTACATTGACACCTCTTGAAATTTCAAAAGTTTACATATACACCTCTCTACCTAAGAAAATGACTATTTAAACCTTTGACTTGGTCAACAAATAGTAAATTACTAATATAATCCTAAACTAAGTTTTGACAGACCAAAATAACCTTCAATTTTCAATCTCTCTTTAACCATGTACTCTCTGTCACTATACCACCCACCATCGCCACCCCCTTCATCCCATACCCTCTCTATCACTATACACCACCCACCATAGCCGCCCCCTTCATCCCATACCCTCTCTGTCACCATACACCACCCACCATCGCGAATCAAATAAACCCACCATTACCACCGCCATCACCACCAACAAACAGAACCACCACCACCATAACCATCGCCACACACACACACCACCACAACCACCGCTGCGCACGCACACACGCACACACCACCAAGCCAAACCCAAGACGAACCCACCACAACCACTGCCGCACCCACACACCACCAAGCCGAACCCACCACAACCATCGCCATAGCCACACCCACACACACCACCAAGCTAAACCCTAGACGAACCCATTCTCATTCAAGGTTGAACTCGCTTAAATGCTTCGGTGGCGGAGCAAATTGTCGAAGTCACCAACTCCGACCAGGCCAAGATCGCCAAATCCGTCGCCGCCACAACACCTTAACGTCACTAGACAACACCACCGTCGCTCGACGCCATCGATTCCGGCAACTGGGTTGAGTGAATCAATTGCAACTGTCGCTCATTCAAGGGCAATGACTTCTCTTTGACGCGTTGGCAGTGTGTGGTTGCAGCGATGGGTGTGGCGTTGTGTAGTTGCGAATTGTTTGTTAGTTGCGGTGATGGTTGGTTGCTGCACTGTATGTGGCAAACGGTGGGTGTGGCACTGTGTGTCGGTTTGTGGGTGTGGCAAGGGGTGGCGGTCTGTGGATGTGAGGGATTACAGAGTGGTGGTGGGTGTGAGGGATTGTAGTATTAGGATTATTTTTGTCAATTAGCAAGTTCAGGAGTGTCAATGTAAACTAGTGGCGTTGACCCAAAGAGATGTAATTTACCCTTTTCTTCAAAAAACAACGATGCAAAGAAGGCTGAGATATTAATAAATAGGCTGTATCACCTATAACACAACACCACCTATTTAACGATCCTTTTACTATTTTTCTTAAATATAACATGTAATTATAAAGAATAAAATAAAATATTTTAAATTGAAAATTATACAATGAGGAAAATTAATCAAGAGTTTAACGATAATACGATACTAATTTAAATAAACTGACGTCAATTAATTAAATAAATTAATTGAGTTTGACACCAACATGATTAAAGTCAACCAAACCATACTAATTCTGTGTTGGGATTGAATTGTTTTGATATGTAGTGTCAAAGTTTGAAACTCCTAGATATAATAATACTTGTTTCAAAATAGCATGGTGAGCTATACATTTTCTTTACTACCTCCAGCCCATAACAAGTCGTCAAGTATCACCCACTCAATTTTACAAAATTTAAACATTTACTCTTACGGATTCCAAAATACTTTCAAAACTTGAAACAACATTTAAAAGAGATTCCAAAAGATTTTCAAAACTAAAACAACATTTTAGGGAGATTAAAATTTGAATCATCTCAATATATATACACAACCATATCATGTGTATATATCAATTTAGATTCATGTGGTGACATAATGAGGTAACTTCACAGGGAAACATAATCACGTATGCATCCACAGCCAACAGATTTCTAGTGCTCAGCCAAAAACTACGTGCCCAACTAAACAATGTCGGTTGAAGGTAAACAAAAAGAGTTTTGTTCGGTGTACAAAATTGCTAGAGAAAGGACAAAATAATGAAAATTAATAAAATAAATTAATCGCACCCACCAAGAGTTGAAAGCAGATACTTGCCTGGACCCATATAAATCTCTCTCCCATAGAGCCCAAGCAAGCATGTGATGAGTTATTTGCCAACCCGAGACAACTAATAATAATAAGACTTGAATTTATGGGGTTCAAGAAAATAAAATTAAATAAATAAATAAACTTAAATTCGCATGGGGCACTGTACATTTTGTTCTCAAATTTGACCAAAAGAGAAGTGCGAGGGCAAGGGCGAGGGCAGGAGCAGCAATGCAAGATCCATATGCGTTCGTTGTGTATCAAATTTCTGTTGGCTCCGTCAACACGAACTCCTAGGCTAAAGAATTCTCCTCGACTAACACAAATCCTAACCATTTAGAGTTTAATTACTTTACTGAATCAAATAACAGGAAACGATCAATAAAACAGCAAGCAGTAACTTCTGCCAAGAGTTTCCCAGCCTCAGAAACCCCTTCATCAAGAATTTTAAGCATATTAAAAATGTCCTAAAACAAAGCTTTACAACTCAAACATAAACAGCTTCCTTATTGGACAGTTATTTAAAATTAAAATAAAAGGACACGATAATCCGTTTCCCAAACATATATGCCTGTTTGCATAAAAGGACGGCACCAAAACATTTCAGTAACAATTCATGTCGAACCTCAGTATCAAGTTCTGAAAACTGGCAAATGCTGTAGAAGAGTTGCAAGAAAAATAGACATTTTAATCCATGCCCGGCAGGTTCATTTGCTCTCACTATCATAAAGATCTGTTCTAAACATGTCCATCAAGGAAACAGCATAAAAAGTAAGAGAACAAAAATACAAGCGTTTGTCAAAAGTCAACCATATGAAAATGTCTAGACACGAATAATCTCGTTTTCTATTCTTATCATTTTACATAGAGTACTGTCCATTTAGTTTTCATTGAATTTGAAATGAATTTTACTCACTTCAAATGTCATCAAAACTAGGGTGTGACCTATTCATACAGTACCTTAAACGAGTCTTGTATTGATCTTTGCATGGTCTTCTAAGATGAATGGTGAGTTCTTCTACCATTTGACAATACTTCAGGTGATTAATAGAATCTTTGGATTGTGCCCATGATGAACTGATTTTACTCACAGAGTATCCACTTGTCTAAGACTCAGATACCAACATTTGAGAGCCATTTTGGTCACCTCAAGTTCTTAGTCCGATTAGAGAGGACTGGGAGGATTTAATGGAGGCTGGTGAGTTTCTGGGAAAATTTTAGGCATCTGTCCAGATCATTCTTCTCCAAGTTATTTCCTACCATGGAGGAACACAGTAGGGTGTTTGTATTTAAACGAAGAAGGTAGTGTACTTATTTAGGATCAATATTGTTTGTCCAGTATATTTGAAAGATATAGACAAAAACTGAGTACTTATAGTGGGATTAAAGGGAGATGTCTGGGGGGCTACGAATCACAAGATAATAGCAGCTCAATCAGCATTTGACTGTAGAGGTTTTGCTTACAAGAATTTTCGGACTTTTCACTCTGGGTTTGGTGGACTGTAGCATGTGGAGGGAGAAACATTGCGAGTATTGGCTTTAAGCTTCTTCAGACAGGTAGTGCTCCAAAGACAGGATGGGAGTAGGGATGGCAATTTCTCCCACCCCTAATGGATCAGGTATGGAAAAAAAAAATGTCTATTATATATACTTATTACACTTGTATCCTTGACCTTATATAGAAATTACTAAAAGTACCCATACATATAAATGTCTATTATATATACTTATTACACTTGTATCCTTGACCTTATATAGAAATTACTAAAAGTACCCATACATACATATATGTATGGGTACTTTTAGTAATTTCTATATAAGGTCAAGGATACAAGTGTAATAAGTATATATAATAGACATTTTTTATACACTAAATCAGTGAATCCCTTAACTACCCCAACGGCGCATCTCATCTCTCACGATCCCTGTGAATCCTCACTTCTCAGCCCTCACCACCGCCTTCAACCCCACTTCATCGTCGATCACATATATGTATCGGTACTTTTAGTAATTTCTATATAAGGTCAAGGATATAAGTGTAATAAGTATATATAATAGACATTTTTTATACACTAAATCAGTGAATCCCTTAACTACCCCAACGGCGCATCTCATCTTTCACGATCCCTGTGAATCCATACTTCTCAGCCCTCACCACCGCCCTCAACCCCACTTCATCGTCAATCACATATATGTATGTATGTATGTATGTATGTATGTATGTATGTATGTATGTATGTATGGGTACTTTTAGTAATTTCTATATAAGGTCAAGGATATAAGTGTAATAAGTATATATAATAGACATTTTTTATATACTAAATCAGTGAATCCCTTAACTACCCCAATGGCGCATCTCATCTCTCACGATCCCTGTGAATCCTCACTTCTCAGCCCTCACCACCACCCTCAACCCCACTTCATTGTCGATCACCGGCAACCAAGAGACCGATGTTCTATCTCCTCGGTAACAACTCTCTCTCTCTCTCTCTCTCGTTTTTATAGTTTTCCCAGATGTTTTAGAGGACTTGAAACCATTGTCATTGTTGTATCTCTCTAAGTAATCAGGATTCAGGACGAGGCGAGGCCAGTGAGGGAGCCAAGAATTTTGTTTGGGGGTGGGGGGAAGGGGGGGCACTAATGAATAATAAGATAAAAAATTCAAAAATAAAATAAAATTGAAGATAAATTACTTAAAACAAAATAATAAATTAAAAAAATTATACTTTGATTGATAATATTTTTGTTTGTGACATTTATAATTGCTTTTGAAGAATTTTTATATTAAGCAAGACCGACGTTTTCTCTTCTGTAAGAATTCTCTTTCTCACACACACGCAAGCACAGACACACACTCTATGTCACACCTCTTGTTTTTTATAGTTTTCCCAGATGTTTCAGGATTTGAGAGACGAACCATCCTGGGTTAGGGACAGGTAAGGAGGAGAAATTATTAAACGGGGCGGGTAGTGTTTAGGCAAACCCGTTCTATACCCACCCCGTTGTCATCCCTAGATGGGAGGATAGATGCCCGATTAATTGATGTGACGTCTGAGGTAAGGAAAGGAAAATCGTTCATTCAGATGATTTTGGCTGAAATCCTTACAACACTGACCAGGTGATGAGGTAATTCAAAGGCTGTATGGCTCTTTTGCAGGTTTGATCCTTGGAACACTTCTTTTTAGTGACAAGGACTTAGAGAGGAAAGAGGTTCGACACAACACAAGCAAATAAGGAAAGAAGCAATATACACCATAGGCATCGGCACAGGCACAAGCTGCACAACACAAGCAAAGAAGGAAAACAACAATCTATACCATTTAGGATATAATTGCTCGCCAATGAATCCTGCTAAAGGTCTTCGTAAAGGCAATCTCTACTTTCTCTCTGCTCCAGTTGGTCAAGCTCGACACACACGAGTGCCTCCTTTTCTATTGTGCCTAAAATATCTATTTCTGCTAATATTTCAGGTGTTTCTATTTATGGTTTCTATGGAGCTCCATTGCAATAAATAATCTTTTTCAGCAGCATTGCTTCTAGGCCGGACAGGTGGAAGAGCCAAGGGAGGCCGGGTCATTTGACAGAAATGGAAGGCTTTTCCCTATTAGAGAAGGTCACTGATGACATTTCCTTATTTTGGGACGTTATGGCAAAAGACGATGACTCTTGGAAGGAAAGAGTAGGCCATTGACTATCCACCTTCAGAGTAGCAATTCACCTTCTTTCAATAGTAGTTCTCTCTTCCTTTCATCTGATTCTTGGTCTGGTCCTTCCATGAGGAAAAGGCTCCCAATGGCTTGATTCTTTAAGTGAAAACGTGGGCTGAGGATCTGCTCTTGTGTGAGTCAAGGTATGTGATGAAGGTGCTCAAAAGGGCACTTTAGTATAGTAACATATGGCCCTCATCTAATACGAATCTTTCTTTCTTTCCTAGCCAGTCTCCTCAAGGAATCCAAGGCTTGGCACAAGAAGCATTGTGCTAGTCAATTGAGAAGTCTTTCGCAGTATCATTGAAGTGAACTTTCAGCAATAGCAGAGTTCACCAAAGGAGCAGAAGAGGGGAGAGGAGGAATCTATTGCTACTGTAGTTGCTCTTTTGTCTATATTTGTCGGTCCAAAACGAGCGTATTGTTATAAAGAATGGGTCTCTTCCCTGGCCTCGTTGTGTCTATCGATCTCACAAGTCTCTCTAGTATAGACAAGGGTTCATCTGTGAATATTCAAAGGCTATATGGCCCTTTTGCAGGTTTGAACCTTGGAGTAGTAGTTTTTAGTGAGAACCCGGAGACTTAGAGAGGAAAGAGGTTCAAAAGTTTCCAAGAAAAGGATAAAGAAGCATTCGGCAAACAATAATACACAAATTGTAGATGAGCCAATAAAGATCATGGACATCATTTAGATTGTCACCCTAGGGTTCCGACTTGAGATCCAAAGATCTTACAGGGAATGGTCTAAGGGGACCGCTAACAAAAATGGACTAGAAAAATAATATACAAAAAGAAGAATCATTTCCTCAATTGTCTATGTATATCATAAATTTGGTCACTAGGCCAAAATTTATATATCAATACCCAAATGTGGACCCCCCTTCAGCCAACTATTATGCACTTTTTTCCACTCAACCAAGACATATGCTTTGTTTTCCAAAATCAACCCCAAAAAATACTCCTACATTCTGTTATCCTCTTAGTGGCTTTGCAACTGGAGTATTAATATTTCATATCTCTCCCCTCCCAGCTTGGAGGTTGAGTGATGATCATGTCGTGAAAGTACTTTTGGTCCTACATCATGGAGTCAATTGACATGCTTTTTCCCCCCACTGATTTGAGAAGAGGTAGGACCCAAAATCTGAACAACCAGATCCCGAAAATCTAGGGTTAAAGAGTACCTCCAAAAGTGAGAGAAAGGTAGGTCAAGGCTGAAAATTTTGGCTAACAACCAAAAAGTTTAGCGAATAGCCAACATGAACTTCAACTATCTTTCAATCATGCCATTAATTTGGCTAACAACCAAAAAGTTTAGCGAATAGCCAACATGAACTTCAAGTATCTTACAATCATGCCATTGATTTGCCTCAAAAATAAAGAGGACGATATTAAGGGATTCAAATTCTATCTGAGATTAATGCGCAAAGAAATAATATCCTCGTCATGGCAAACCCTAAAGCTTTCTCTTCCAACACTAAAGCTTTTAAATATATATATATATATGTTGTCCAACTCCACGAACAGGTGCAACTAAGGCAACTGATGATCATGGTAAAAATGAAAGAAGACAAACCCATCAAAATATGACACCAGCCATAACTTGACGCCCAAAATTCACCATAATTCCTACACAATCAATTAATAAGGCAATAATTAAATCCTCCATCGAGACCACATCATTCTGAACCAAGGGTATAATCAAGAAGTCCTGACCAACACAATCATAAACCTTCCAAAAGTTATTCTTGATCACTATCCCTCTCTTCCTCTTCCCTAATCCCTTAGAAACCTAGACATGTGCATCATAAAGAGAACAGCCGCTACTACCATATATCTGATCGAAGGGCAAATAATTAAACATTGATCATCATCATGCTTATGCTATCCAAATATGTAAGTGTTCAATAACAGTTAAATACTTAAATATTGCACCTTTAAACTAGACAAAAATATCTCATGCAGTCTATTTACCATACATAAATTAAGTAAAACTAATCATAATAATTGCTCCTATAAAAGAATTTGGAAAAATGTTTTAGCATTTTCTTTTTCTTTTTTTTCTTTATTTAATCTCTTTTTAAAAAAATATATATATATTCCACAAAATATTTGAGAAAAATGGAAGCAGTTTGTAATACTTGAAAATGATTTACGCTTTCTTTTTCCCCCTTTTCCTTTTGTAAGTCATTTTTATATGTCTGATGAATAAATAAGTACATAGTATAAATTTATAAAATTATGTGTATATATACACGTATATATACATTCAACGCATAATGCATCTATACACATGCATATAAACACACATCGATAAGTCTATATACACATTTGTATACATATCATTACAGTAACTTACATGTACTTATTCTCCTCTACAAACGTGCTTAATTTAAGTGTCTATGGTGCATTTGAATTTTTTTAGAACTGATAAATAAGAAAGAAAAAATGTTCTGAATTTTTTTTTGTAGCATTAAAATAAACGATGGAAAATAGCACTAGTAGAGTTATAAGATATAAAAATCAAAGGAAAGAAGGATACATCAAGTAAATCCCATGAGCAAGTGCTCCTGCCAACACGGCCGTGAACAAACGATCCCTCAAAACTGGTTTATGTCGCAGTTGAATTCGAACTGAAAATAGAACAAGCTCGAACGAAAACATTCGATGGACAAAACCCATATAAGAAATACCATAATGACAGGAAAAAAAAAAATTGCAATTAATCAATATAGTAATGATGAAAGTTTTTTTTCTAATATTTAGAAAGACTTACTGAGGGGAAGAACAGGGGCATATATAAGTGGAATCAGAAACTTGATGGGGGCTCCTCTGTTTTGTTTCCTTAAAGCAGCCTGCCTTCAACCACAATTTCATAAATCCAACTTCAATAACAAGATAGAGAGAGTGTCTAGAGAGAGAAGGCGTACATTTACATAGCAATGAAGAGATACATGAATATATATATATATATATATATATATATATATAATCTTATAGAGAAATAACATCACATACTGGCTGGAGGGATCGGACGGTGAGGCCATAGTAGACGGAAATACCAGAGACGTATCGTACTTGTGCGAAAACCGAACTCCGGGTAAGTCTTCGATCGCCTCTGGTCCAACACGAAGGTGAATTAGGTTATAAATTAGAGGGGTAGGGAGTTTACAAGTCTACACCCACCAAATGTTTACTAGTATCCAAACACTCCCAATGGGAGCACTTTACGCCTCTTGTTTTTAGTTTTTTTTAAAAGGGCAAATTACACAAACTACCTGGAAGTTTTTATATTGTGCATGTAAATAAAAGTTATAGCAATATTACAGAAAGGTTCATATTGACCCCTTGACCACAGATGATCAATATAAATTTATATTTTTGATCTTAAAATTAAAGTATTTGTTTTTAATGAAAAAAATAAAAAATATTGTGTATTGACAAGTTTCGTTTTTGCCCCTCAAAAAGTGATACACCATATAACTTCCCTACCACGTCACTCTCTTTTCTCCCTCTAGACATTTCAATCAAATCATCGGTTTCCAAGGAGACAACGAAGTTGGGACGACACCGAGCCGAGTCGCTGAAAAATCATCCATGTTCCGATACAATTCGCCCCTTGTTCAGGTAGGTCTTATTAGATTGGTGTGTTTTTGTTGCCCTGGCATGTTCAATGCCCTATCAGGTATGGGCGGTGGTGGGCAAGTCGACCACGCGACGGCGAACAATGCCAAAATCGCCCTCTACACCACCTTCGCCATCTTCGGCATCCTCGGTGGTGGAATCTACAACATCTTGGGCCCACACCTCACCCTCTTCTCCGGCTGCTCCACCTACGTTCTCTACTCCGGCTCCTTCCTCTACTACAACCACTATCACCACCAGTTGTTCGCCATCATTGCCAGCGCATTCCTCGGCATCGACGAGGGCAATAATATGCATTTGGCGTGACCCATTGACTCTGATTGATTAAGCAACAACCAATTTTTTTTGGATCAATTTCGAACCCTAAGATTCATGGAATTTTGTGAAGGAATTTGGAATGATTTATGGCTCTGTGGTTGGATTTGGGTTTGTGATTGGTTTTGTTGCAGATGTTTTTATGGTTTTTACAATTTAGTTCTGGTATTGTTGGTGGTGATGGATGTTTTCGGTGGGTTTGGTGGTGGTTGCACTTGTCAGTGATGTGGTAGGGAAGTGATGGGGTGTACCACTTTTTGAGGGGCAAAAATGAAACTTGCCAATACACAATATTTTTTATTTTTTTCATTAAAAATAAATATTTCAATTTTAAGGTCAAAATTGTAAATTTATATTGATCCCTTGTGCTCAAACGGTCAATATGGACCTTTCTGTAATATTGCTATAACTTCTATTTACATGCACAATATTAAAACCTCGAGGGTAGTTTATGTAATTTGTCCTTTTTTAAACTACTTTAATTTTCTTGGGTAAACTTCCTTTAGGCCCCTCAGATATGCCTATACATCAATGAGACCCCTTAATTTTGTATAATTTCAATCAGACCCCTTGTCAAACATTATTGACTAAAACTGTTAACAGAAGTGGTGCATTTACTATTTTACCTTCGATTTATAATATTGTTTTTTTTTTTTTTTTTTTTAACGGAGAATATTATAGAACTATTGATCGGTGAAATCTTGTGTTAAATGAACATTATGATTCAAACTATTCTGGAACAAGTGAGATAATAATTATGTCCATACCAATACATTGGATATTGGATATTGGATATTGGTGGTACTATAGGTGCTTAAATTCGTCAAATCTTCTTCTCCATTTAATGGCTTATGGCAAAAAGCAAAAACATGATCCAGGTGCAAGCAAGCTTTTTTTAATGGTCATCATGATCATATTGCATATAAAGTTGCTAATACATTTTTTATGGATAATCAAATGGGAACAACAACAACAACGCGTACATAGCGGCCCTTTTATATATCTTTGTAGTACTCCATTGTATAAGTCACTAGAATGTGAGAAACTAGTTCTTTAAGTACCAACAATTTGGGAAGCACAACTGAGTAGAGAACATCACTTGCCCAACCAAGTTCCTCATCGCTTCCATCATAAACACGATAAATCAGAACTGAAGCAGTCTCATTGTATGCCTCCCAGGTTTCAATAAAATCCAAAACTGTTAAAGACTTTTCTCCTTTTTCCAATTAAATTTGGCAAATTTCATTCGTTATATTTGCAGTTGTTGAACTAGATTTAAATGTCAACACCTGTGTTCTCGAACAAGTCGTATTCTTTTCAATTTATGTGTCCATGGTGTCATTTTTAGTACAACTAATGTTCACTTTGTCCACAACTTCATTTAATCCGTCTTCGTCCTCCTTTTCAACTTCAATATCCGAATCTTCAACATCTTCAAAAGCATTGAATAACAATCTTGAATTCAATTCATGGGGTGATATGGGAAGATATTGAGAAATCAAATCATTATAACTTGCCTCCAATTTTGCCAATTCGACAACGATTGAAACTCTTCGTCCCTCTGTCTCTTTCAGAATCTAAATTCAAACAAGAAACCCATTCATAATTTGACTCTGATATTGCGTCGAGCAGTTGACGTGCAAATTCTTTACTCAAAAATAAATCTCTAGAGTTCCATTCAATATATCTCATGCAAGCTTTGTCAAGTCTCTTGCTCAAAATCTTTGGTGATCAAAAGTAAGAAAATTATTTATTTAATGCACAAATTTATCGAGAAAATCGCAACTTAAGTTTTTGGCCCAACCCAAAACCATAGCGAAAAGTACCTACTAAACATAAACTGACACATGAAGGGTAAGAACTACTTATCCCTACTCAATAAGAAGGGCAATTTGGGCATTATAAATTTTATTTTAAGGGTTTTTATTTTTATTTTTTATGACCATTGTTGACCACATAGGGGAGAATTTGATGTGCGTGAGAAAAAGAAAGGGGCTTAATTAATATTATACAAACTTGAGGGGCTTCATTGATGTATAAATATATCTTAGAGGGTCTAAATGAAGTTTACTCAATTTTCTTTAAAAATAGCATATTGTTTGCCCCGAAAAAGAAAAGAAGCATAATTAGACGGTGGTGTACTTTATTCAATGCTGCAAAGTCTCTTCCTTCATAATCGTAACTTGAAATCAGGAATCCGGTGAATTGGACTCGGGTGGTATAAGTTTGGATCAAAGTGGTGATGAACGTCGAGAAATGGAAAGTATGGCGCCAACCCCGTCGTCGTATGAGTTTGAGTCCTTCGCAATTGATATATCAAACCAATCGCCTGCTAAGAATGTTCATAATTTAGTGTTTGAGCCACTCAGAAAACAATTACCACCGCGTCACACTAGAGGTATTCCTAAACCCACATATGAACCCAAACTTTCTAGTAAAGTTAAGTATCCCATGAGCAATTATGCGTCGAACCATCGTTTGTCATAATCAAATTTGTCATTTGTAAATCAATTATCTATTGTATCTATTCTTAACAGTATGCAAGAAGCCTTAGCTGACCCTAGGTGGAAAGCAGCTATAAATGAGGAGATGAAATCCTTGCAGAAAAATGAAACTTGGGAACTCATTGATCCTCCACCAGGAAAGAAATCAATTGGATGTCGATGGATTTACACTGTAAAGTATAAAGCAGATGGCACAGTTGAACGCTTTAAAATAAGATTGGTGGCAAAAGGTTACACCCAAACCTTTGGAATTGATTGCACAGAGACGTTCGCACCTATAGCCAAAATAAACACAGTTCGTGTCTTGTTGTCTTTAGCTGCGAACTTGGATTGGCCATTGCAACAATTCGATGTGAAGAATGCCTTTCTGCATGGTGAATTATCTAAAGAAGTCTACATGGATCTCCCACCAGGATGCATAATACACGAAAAGTATAGTCGGAAGGTCTGCAGGTTAAAGAAATCATTATATGGGTTGAAACAATCTCCAAGAGCATGGTTTGGAAGATTCACAAAGTCTATGACAGCCATTAGCTACCGTCAGAGCAATTCAGACTACACATTATTTATGAAGAAACAACAGGGTAAGATCACTACACTCATTGTATATGTAGATGACATGGTGGTTACAGGGAATGATCCTGGAGAAATGAAGGCTCTCAAGAAGTATTTGTCCAGAGAATTCAAAATGAAAGATCTAGGTCTTTTGAGGTATTTTCTTGGGATCGAAGTGTCTCGATCTAATAAAGGAATCTTGTTATCTCAAAGAAAATATGCCTTAGATCTATTAAAAGAGACTGGCATGACAGCATGTCAACCAGCTAAGACACCAGTGGAAGAAGGACTGAAGTTATTTGTTGAATCCAACCAAGTACCTGCTAATAAAGGAAGATACCAAAGATTTATAGGGAGATTGATGTACTTAGCACACACAAGACCGGATCTGGCTTATGCATTGAGCATTGTTAGCCAGTTTATGCATGATCCTGGAAAGCAACATATGAATGCAGTTATGCGCATTTTGAGGTATTTGAAATCTGCTCCTAGAAAAGGAATTTTGTTCACTAAAAATGCTGATTATCAAAACATAGTTGCATATACTGATGCTGACTGGGCTGGAGCTATAGATGATATGCGATCTACTTCTGGTTACTTTACTTTTGTAGGAGGTAATCTTGTTATATGGAGAAGTAAGAAACAAAATGTTGTTGCTCGCTCGAGTGCAGAAGCTGAATTAAGAGGCATGACGCTTGCCCCTTGTGAAACATTATGGTTAAGATTTCTATTGCAGGATTTGGGTTATCTACCTGGGCAACCTATTCGACTATATTGTGACAATAAAGCAGTATGTGATATTGCCCATAATCCAGTTCAACATGATCGTACGAAGCATGTTGAAATAGACAGATTCTTCATTAAGGAGAAGTTGGATGGGAAAATTGTGGAGTTGCCTAAGATTCGATCTGAGGATTAACTAGCCGACATTCTCACCAAAGCAGTCTCAAATCAAGTGTTTTCAAAATTTTTAGACAAGTTGGGCATGTGTGACATCTATGCACCAACTTGAGGGGGAGTGTTGAGATTTTATCTCTTAAAGTATAATTGTAGGATTGAATTATTTATTCCTAAATTTAGGGCTAATTGGTAGGTAATTAGTTACCTATTTTAGTTAATCATATTCTATAAATTGGATGTAATACTCATCAATGAATTAATGAAATATGATTTTAAGTCTCGTATTTTTTCTCTGAATTTCAAGAATTCCCTGCATATCGACATGGCACGTGACATTTAAAATTTATCTACTGCTGGTGTTAAACTATGTCAACTAATTTTAAAAAAATTTGAAAATTGCACCGTATGGTTTTGAATTAAGAAAAATTCACCATATTCTAACTATCGTTATTTCTCCGTCATCTTTTCCAAAAAAAGATCCTCCCTTTTTCTCCTCTTTATTTTTATCTTAAACAAGTCGTGGTCTCTGTTTCTCTTTTAACCTCACGTTCTCTCTCATCTTTTCTATATATAAGGCTTTTGGTTGTATTTTCCTAACTCCATCAATATCTATGCTTATATATATATATCTTCTTTTCCAATCATTACTATTGTAGTAAAAGTTGCTTGTCTTGCCATCACATTTTCGTTCATCTTAATTCCATGGCAAAGAATATTCATTTTTGGCGCGAAATATTCTCCCATTTGCGAGAATGAACAAGAGGAGAGAGATGGAGGATTTATTTGGAAAAGATGAGGGAGAGAGAACTACTTGAAACGTCTTTAGAGTATGGTGAATTTTTCTAAATTCAAAACATTACAGTTTTTAAACTTTGGTAAATTTTTCCAGTTTTTAAATTTTATTTAAATTAGTTAACTTAGATGATTTAAGTTTGTCCAAATATAAGCAGAAAATAGGAGAAAAACAAGCGAGTCTATTATAAAAAATTTTAAATTACTACATCATCCTTTATGAAAATTTAATAAACCTTATACATAAAATAATAGATAGGTTTAATGGTAAAAATAATTTAAAAATTTATTTTTATTTTTACCTTAGAAGTTAAATTAAATTGTTAATTTTTTTCATGTTATTCCATTCAATCGAAACTCTCCGTAAACACGTGGAGAACGTATATGCAAGGTGCCAATGGGGATCTTCTAGAATATAGTGTTAACGTGGGGGCAAAAGATCTGATGGCGCAGAGAGTCGCGTCAACATAAAGCTACAAGCGCTCTCACTCTCTCTCTCTCTCTCTCTCTATCTCTAAAACCCTTGTATTACTACATACATCGCCCCCAGACACTCTTGTATCTCTCCCTGAGCAGGGCACACCGAAACTCTTCAGAAACTCCCAAATCGGAATAATCAGATCAAATGGTAAGTTCTCAATTTCAACATCTCTCTGAACATTCCTTTGTTTTTTTTTCTTGTTTTTTCTGGTCACCGTTCTCTTGGATTTAGACTCTAGGGTTTTGAACTCGTACCTGTTGCTATCTGTTATTTGGTTTCGATTACGATCTGTTTTCATTTATTTATTTTTATGGTAAAATTTTCCAATTTGATTTTTTATAGACAAATGCAATCGGTGACGCTTAATTAAAACATAGTCGTAGGGTTTTATTTTATTTGTTTTTTTTACCTTGTATGTATTGGAACAAATCGGAGCCACACAAACACATTTTTTTTCGCTGATTTCGTTTGTCTTTCTGTTTGCAGGCTTTGCCAAACCAGCAGACGGTTGATTACCCTAGCTTCAAGCTTGTGATTGTTGGTGATGGTGGAACTGGTAATTTGTTCACTCTGTATATTTGTCGATTAGAAATTGTAATGGATCTCTTGTGTGAAAACAAACGAAAAAATGAATATCATGTACACAAGGCAAGCAGATTGAATATCACAGTGAAATTATCATTGAAGATAATTGGAGCAACAATCTCTTAATAGGAGAATTCATAAGAATATGTATGTTTTGATATATTTGGTTTTGATAGTTGTGGTTTACTGATGCTCAATATTTTTGAATGATGCAGGGAAAACAACTTTTGTGAAGAGGCATCTCACTGGTGAATTTGAAAAAAAATATGAACGTAAGTGTTTTGATAAAGGCTGCATCTTTATTGGGGTTTTCTGTTAGTTCTTTACTATTGTATTTGTATTTGTATTTGGATAAGAAAAAATATGAAATTAGATGACCTGATAAATTTCCATCCTTTCCTTTGGTGGGAATTTTTATTTATTTAAAAAAAAATTAATTTCTGTTGGCATTCGTATGCGTTTTGATTACTGATTTGCGATATATTTCTTTACATGCAGCAACCATTGGTGTGGAAGTGCACCCATTGGACTTTTTCACAAACTGTGGGAAAATTCGATTTTACTGCTGGGATACTGCAGGGCAAGAGAAATTTGGTGGCCTTCGAGATGGTTACTAGTAAGCAATTTGATGTCTGTAATTACTACTTTTAGATTTGGGTGTATTTTGTTTGTTGCTTATATTCTGTATATTTGCATCAAAGAAGTTTATGTGGGGTATACATTTCCTTTATGAGAGGTACTCTTCTACTATGATTGTTTCCTATGGGTAGTCTGCTGAAAATAATTAAGTATTACTAGTATTGTTTTTCCATGAATTGAAATTCTATTTCTTTCCCCCTTTTTTGTTCCAAATCTAACCTAATTTTATGAAATTCTTTTTGGGACAGCAACATTATTTTTTCTTCTTAGTTCATTCTTTGTTATTGCCATAGCTATTCATTGCAATATTTTTAGTGCTGTCATCTCAGTTTTTTGCTTATCATGCTTCATTTTGATTGCATGAAACCAACCAACCTGTTGGGTATGTTGTTTCCACATGAAAATTCTTGTTTGCTCTCTTAGATTATTGCTCCTCCTTCTGAACTTTCACATTTTTATTTGCAGCATTCATGGGCAATGTGCAATCATCATGTTTGATGTTACTGCCCGATTGACTTACAAAAATGTTCCAACTTGGCACCGAGATCTCTGCCGGTTTGTTGAATAAATTTTTGAAACCTTGTATCTCTTGAATTTCTCTTTGTGGAGTTGTTCATCTGCCTTCATGATTTATTGACAGTGGTTATGATGCTCATCTTATCTTATGTTTGTGATCCATAGGGTTTGTGAAAATATACCCATTGTACTTTGCGGAAATAAGGTTGATGTGAAGAACAGGCAGGTTAAGGCAAAGCAGGTTACGTTCCACAGGAAGAAAAATCTGCAGTACTACGAGATATCTGCAAAAAGTAACTACAATTTTGAGAAACCTTTCTTGTATCTTGCCAGGAAGCTTGCTGGGTAATAAAATTGCCTTCTATTCTGTTTATTTATGTATACATTTTTAAAACTTCTGGATTATGCCAAATTTTGATGATTGCTTTTGCGATGTTAGGGATCCCAACCTCCATTTTGTGGAGTCTCCTGCTCTCGCTCCTCCAGAAGTACACATTGACATGGCTGCACAGCAACAGTAAGAACTCTGTTGCCACAACCACAAAATCTGCTATATTTGTTCTTAGATTCTTATCTAACCAGTTCTAATGTGTAGTGGGAGTTCTTAAAGTTGCATATTTCTGAGGTCCTATTCAATTGCCTACTTTTGAATGAAACAAATGGAAAGTGTATACCCTGTAAATAGGGCTGTAAATGAGCCTAGCCGAGCCGAGTAATGGTGTGCTTGAGCTTGGCTCGGTTAGGCAATAAGGCTGTTCGAGCTCGGCTTGAGATCGAATTGAGCCTATAAAATTAAGTCCGAGCTCGGCTCGGCTACGTTTGACGAGCCTTGAGCCGAGCTCAATAGTTCATTTACCTCTTTTTTGGTACTTCGCATGAATCGCGTCCAAAGATCTGGAACAAAACAAAACAAAAGTTTGAGTGAGAAATGATTTTCAGTGGAAAAAAGAGAACAGTTAGATGTACAATTATATATGATGGACTTGGTCATCTTGGGCTTTACTTAAATGAGGTTCTGTTTTTGTAATGGAAACAAAATTATTTGGGTTGGGTTGGGTTTCATAATGGGTTTTGTTTTGCAACAGTACAAATTTTTTTGGGTTGAGTTGAGTTAAGAGATTAAATTTTTTGGAGGTTTTTATAAGTGGGCTAAATATATATTTTCATAATATATATATATATATATATATATATATATATATATATGTTTTTATAATATATTTTTAGGAGCTTAAAAGGAGCCTTAATCGAGCTTTGTTCACGAACGCGTTCACGGACAAACGAGCTGAGAGGGGAGATGTTTGACCTTGGCTCGTTTATTAATTGAGCTTTAAAAATCTGTTTGAGTTTGGTTCGTTTATAAATTTTTTTGGAGGTTTTTATGAGTGGGCTAAATATATATTTTCATAATCTCTCTTTCTCTATATACATATATGTTTTTATAATATATTTTTACGAGCTTAAAACGAGCCTTAATCGAGCTTTGTTCACGGACAAATGAGCCGAGCGGGGAGATGTGTGACCTTGGCTCGTTTATTAATTGAGCTTTAAAAATCTGTTTGAGTTTGGTTCGTTTATTAAACAAACGGACATGAACTGAGCTCTTAGCGAGCTGAGCTCGAGCTATTTGTCGAGCGCTTGGTTCATTTACAGCCTTGTAAACAGCTATGTTGCTTGAAATTGATGAACATGGAACATGGTAGAGCAACAATAACAACAAACTTAATATTTCTACACTTGTGCGTTCAAAGGAGGGATGCTGTTAAGATTTTTGGGGGGTGAATACCTTTCATGTTACTAATGCTTCTGATACTAGTATTAAGATAATTCATGTCTCTTCTTATTAGAAGAGTTTCTCTCACTGTTCTTTCCCATTGAATTTTGGGCTACAACTTGCTTTATGTCACCAATGGGACATATTACGTTATTAATAGGAAATTATAAATGAAAATGTGAATACTTGCATATAAAAGAATTTAATAAAATTGTCACATGTCATGTTCTAGTTGATTAAATTGCTACCAATTAAATAAAGGACAATGCTTGCCTTAGGCCATATAAGAAGAAGGAAGTTCCTTCTTATAGTGATGTGGTCTAATAAAAGACTTACATATGTCCTAAATTAAAATGGATCGGACCCATTTCTAATGGGTTAACCTGGGTAGAATCCATCCATATGACACATGCAAAATTACCCATTCACATTACACAACATCAAAAAAATCCTAATATTCACAATTTTATTATCCGTTTGTCCTCTTTATCCTTCATCAAATCAGCCCCTCCCTATGGTTACCATATTTGGCCTGAAATAGAGGGTCGAGTAATTATTTCATACCCGTCAACCACAACCCTAAAGTTCTGGCAGTGAAGAAGATCTATAATTCTTATTCCATTTTCCATGATGTTCTAATGGGCGTAACCTAATTCAATCCAAGTAAAGTAGAAGAAGAGAGGGAGTAGTGGAGGGGGAGAGTGGCGGTGCTGCTGGCAACGGGTGGGGGGTGGGGAGTGGCCGTAATCCCTCTTTTTATGTATATATATCTTATATATTTTATGAGTTGGGTTAACCCATCGAAAATGGGATTCATTTATTTTTGTTTTTATTTATTTATAAATATTACATAATTTTTGGGGCTCTTTTATTGGGCCACATCATCCATAAGAAGGGACTTTCTTATATGGCGTTGGGCAAGTATTGTCATTGAATAAATGTGTTTTTTTTTTTTTTGTTAGCCCCAGGTGATTCAATTAAATAAATACTTTTATTTATTTGCTTTATCAGCATGTAGTTTACAAAACAAACTTAAAAATATCAGAATTGTTTTCTTATGGATCATCATTAAGATATAAATCCCCCCCCCCCCCCCCTCCCCACAAAGGCTAATAATATTCCCAGAAAAATGACACGTGTGGTATTTCAATTAATTGATTAATTATTTGCTGCAGTTTTAATTATTCAAGGGTTGAGTGTGTGTTTGTCTTGACTTGTGTAATTTTTGTAGGCATGAAGCTGAGCTTGCAGCAGCCGCTAGTCAGCCCCTCCCTGACGATGACGATGATGCATTTGAGTAGAGGGCTTGCTTAAATGGTTGGGAGAGGCTTCTTGACTGCCTGAATCATTTATGCTTCTTTTTACATTGTTATCCTATTTCAACAATATATTGAAGGGTTTTTCTTTTCAGAGTGTTAAGATTTAGGTGCATGTATTGGTGGTCATACACCCACCGTAGAATTAAAACAATTGTTGTTTGAGTTTCTGATTGTGCTTTCATGTGAGTAGAGATTTTTAGGTTTATAGAATGTTTTTATTCTAAATCATTTTGGTCGAAATGGTATTATGGCGTTTTGTGGTTTGGACGCTCTCCTAGGAACTTGGCTGTGAAGAGAAACCCTCGGTTCAGTTGTCGAAACTTTAGTAATCTTGTTATTGTGCGAAATGAGAATGACTGAAAATTAAAAATAAAAGAAGTGAAAAGGAATGTATTTGGTGTAGCCAATTTTAGCAATGATAGAGTGCCTGAGAAGAAATAAGTAAAAATAGAGAGGGAATGGTTAAAAAGAAGGCGAAGAAGAATAAGGGAGCTGTGCGTTTGATTGGAAAACCTTACGTTTCGTATTAGAAGCTGTTGATATTTTGTTAATCTGATATTGCACCTTCGCATGTTGTTGTCCCTCAAGACCTAACAAATCACGCTTAATGCCTGCGTAACAAGAAGTGGGAATAGTTGAAAGTTCCAAATAGTAGCTTTGGTACATAAAACTCCATTATGTGATACTATGATAAATTTCAAGCGTAAAACAACAATTTTCAGTTATCTAGCAAGTAAGAGTATGTAGATTATGCTGACCAATTTGTTGTTAATTTATAATTCCCTCTCTCGAGCAAAGCAGCTAAGTTTGGTTGGTGCGCTCTCAAATTCTCTCTCTAGCTCTTTGTGGAACTTTTAGAAGAAGAAGAAATAGGTATTTTTGGTATACTATATATTGGTTGTTTTGAACCCTTTTAATTTGTGTGAGAATATAGCGAGACATGCTTTTAAGTTCCCGTCCGATAGAGAGTTATAGTTATGATACATTTGGTGGAGCGAGACTTCTCCCTACGCTTTTACAGCCGTTTAAGACACAAGGCGGCAATGATGGATAACAACAATCTCATCTGCCTGCATTCTGCTTATTTTTTCTCATTCCATTGGTATGGTTTTTATGATGGCCTATCTCGTTAGCCCATTCATTTCTGGGCCATGTCCAACTAATTAGTAAATTACTAAATTGTGCTGATTCTTGTGGTTTGTATTAAGCACTCACTCACTATTCACTTCTCTCACATACCAACTCACTCTCCGAGGGTGCAAAACAGAAGGCTAATGTCCATCTACATGATAAAATTATGTGATGATGCCACATGGATATATATATATATATGTGTGTGTGTGTGTGATAATTGTACATAAGTAAATATGAACCGGAAAATTGGATGGGCAGGCCTGGGGTGTGTGTTTATGAAACCATAACATAACTACCCCATTCATATATTAAAATTAAATGGATCTACATGGTTAATAACATGCACTTTTAATTGTTTATCCCTCGATCACTAGTAGTTTTTCGTTTTTGGTGATTGATAAATTTGGCTGCCTTTTGTAATGGAGACGACTAGTTTAATTTGTAAACAGCAACATCAACAGCAACACCAACACCATTTTGTTGGTGTGACAAAATGATGGTCACAGTTGGGAACATGTTATGAGCACATGGTGTAACGAACCCACCTGTCTGACTCTCCGGCATGATTTGGTGACCATATCTGCAAAAACCCATCCGACTACCAACTGGTAACTTGGTTACCATAGTTGGCCAAAGTTGGGAATTGAACAGTCCCTATCGGTGTCGGTTTAAACCACACTTAAGTGACACACACACACACATATACGTGTTGGTGTGTGCTCTATGACCACTAGGGAGGGAGGGCATCTACATCATTCCAACCAAAGAGTGGGGTATGAAATGTGTTGTAAGCTGAACAAGTTTGGCTACGGTGGAGGTGGGGTGGTCTCAAAAGGACACTACTACTAAAGTTTTCAAGGGTCATTACCCCAACAAGGTTACAACAACATTAAGGTAGCTATGGCATTGGCATGCATGGGGTATATACTTGAGTTAAAGGGCATCCTATCCTATCCGACTTCACTGTCGGTGGGGGTTCAGTGTTTAACTTTGTCACCCTCAGGCGACTGGCTTACCTATATCCATTCATCCATCCATCAAAACCTGCCCTCTTCTCAATTCCATCTTTTCAAAAGTCACACCTTCTATTACTATTAATTGTCTTCAATGGGACTTTCTTTGTTAGGACCCTACTGTGTTTAATTGTTTCTTTTCTATGAATTGCCGGCCCACTCCATCGTTCCTTTCCTCTTACTCATACTATTTATGTTTTTTAATTATGTCATATATATATATATATATATATATTCACATGTGTGCATGTATTCTTATATATATATATGATCAAATGTATAATTAAGGTAACAGTAGTTACCGAATCACAATTAAGATTCAGAAAATCATATACTATATGGTTAATTTAGTACTACGTAATAATTAACCAAGAGATGATGCAGATGATGAGTGATTATATATATATATGTATGCATTAGATATAATATATGTATATGAAATTTATATAGGATGATGGAACATCTGAGTCCTCATGGTAGGGTAGATATATATAGGATGATGGAACATCTGAGTCCTCATGGTAGGGTAGGGTGCATCACGCATGATGATGAGAGAAAAAAACATATAGGAGGAGGTTTAAGTAAAAAAGTAGTAATAGGACATTTGTTGTGGAATAGTGGCATGTGCTTTCACGTAAACAGGAGGAACATCAACTGGAGGATAGGAAACAACTGTCTTTGTCCATGCCATAGATGCATTTATGATGATATAGACCTATTTCCAAATTTCACAACACTGTAGGGAAACCTGAATTCATTGTTACCACTACTACACTTCTCTCTCTCTCTCTCTCCCCACCTAATTTCAACACTGCTGACCTCAATATGTTGTGTCAAAATAAGACCATTAAGTTAATTCTACACTTTGATGCTACAAAAAAAAAAAAAAAAAAAAAAAAAAAAAAAAAAAAAAACTGATTAGGAAACAATTCAATCACTGGAACAACACGAACACCTGTCATATAATCAAATTTATTAATATATAACCATTTGGGTTGTGATATATATACATAAACTCATGCATATATGCTAAACATGTTTGTGTGTGTTTTTTCTTAAAGTGAGCACATTTTTATTATGTTCATGAATTTGCTTTCATCTTTTACTTTTGTACATAATGCATGAACATATATAATTTAGCTTGTGGCATTCCTTGAATCATACATAGTTTATCGTATGATACAATTAAACTCTTAATACAAATAAAATTAGGATAATGCTTAACTACTTACTGGTGAGTAGGGTGAAGCTACTCACCCCTATATGGTCCAATAATAAAATAACACATCACATTTAAAAATAAAATAATCTATACCCAAAAATATTATATATAATTTATTCAATGATTAATTCAAGAAAGTAGAAAAGGTGTAAATTATTTTATTATTAAAGGTGATGGGTTAGTTTGTTATTGGATCAAATGGGGGTGAATAGCTTCACCCTACTCATTGGTGAGTAATTAAGCATTGTACATAAAATTATATGCAAAGTAGAAAGTAGTAGTGAAATCACAAGAAAAATAACGTACAAGAGTTCGTTATTGAGTCGAATCTAAACTACCAGAGCTTGGATCTGTTGTGGAGCGAGATAGTGCAGTCTTTCACCATGCCTTCTTCTCCATTTACTACTTCTCTTTTAAACTTAAACCAAAGAATGAAAGAAAGAAAGAAAGAAAGAAAGAAAGTGATTTCTAGTCTTTTTGATGTGTCCACTCACTTCTTTTCAATAATACCACAGTTTTCAACATGGATATAGTCTTTTTAGAGATTTAAATTCATCATTGCTTCTTTTAAAAGGATAATGCTACACTAAAAATCCACCTTATTTTATTTCACCTTTTCAACATGGATATAATCTTTTTAGATTCTCTAAAATCATCATTGGTTCTTTTAATACTTGAAGAATGTTTTTACATGGAATGGTATCCCAAATGCTTCACAATTTAGTTAGATAAGAGTCCCTCGTAGAATTTGGAGTGTTCAGATCCGAGTCTCTACACTTATTAACATAATCTAATATCTCATATTTCTTGTTTTTTCAAAAAAAACATAAAAAAATAAATTATGGAACACTTTCTACACTCATATATATATAAACACATTGCGTGTTTTAATCACACCTATCCATTATTATACAATACAACAGATAACACTAGAAAAATATTGTTAAATAAGAAAAAAGCATAAGAAAGGTGAGATGAAAAATTAAAGGGAGAAAAAAAAAACATAAAATGGAGTGATTGTTAAATTTATTAGAAGTTGGAGATTGGCATTGGAAAGGGATACAAGCGAACAAGATGGTTTTAAAGGGACAAAACATTTGACATGAAATGGTGGACTTAGTGGGTTTTAGTTTCTAGAATATTGTATTTTGGGGAGATATGATATAGATATATAAAATCATAGAAAGGGTTGAAATAAGGTAAAAAGTGATGATAGATGGCAGTGAAGTGTAAATAGAAAAATACCAAGTCTTAACTGAAAAAGTTATAACACTCCCCCCGATTCACGAGGGCCAAGGAAAAAGTACGGAGTGGCCTGTCATTCTTTTACTGCCACAGGTTGTTATCTTTGTACTTGAAAAATAGAAATAAATAAACATTTGATTTTTTTGTTTGATTTGATTTTTTTTTTTTTTTTGCCCCTTTTTAGGATTATGTGATTGTGATTCTCTTTTTTTCATTCCCCAACATTGCCCTTGGGATTTTTGTTTTTTACAAGCAAGTGCCTCCCAATAATGCTCCCCTATTTTGTTATATCTATAACCTACATTGTATAGATATTGTGCATGGCATGTCACAATATTAGTCAAGACCTTAAGATTAGTTCACACTGTATAGATATGGTTATTTTTTAAAAATTATTTTACATAAATAGAAGACATTCCTTATAAATTTCTAACTCTTAGGTGACTTTAGAAATCAAGTCAAAATAATTATAATATAATAACGAATTGATCCAAAGCACCTAGTGACTTTATATGCGAGTTCACATAATTTGTAAGTCTTCACGCAAGGACTTACATGTATATAATTGCCCGGGAGATTTTAATAATATACCTTAGTTAATTTATATAATTGCCCCCCACAGTCTGTACTTGCTTATAATTCAATTTAT